ATTATATATATATATATAATATATATATATAATTATATACATATTATAGAATTATATATAAATATATATATAAATATGTATTCATATATATATTTATATATTTATACATATATTTATATAATCATTTATATATTTATATACATTTGTGTTTAATTTATATATATTACTATGTATTATGTATATAATCATATATATGTATATATTTATATATCTGTTTATATATAATTACATGTCTATATATGATTATATATATATTTATATATATATATGTAAATATATTTAAATATATAATTATATAGATATAAATATATATATATATATAAATAAATGTATAATTTTATATATATATAAATATATATAAAATTATAATATTATATATAATCATATATATAATTTTATACATGACTTTATATAGCTTTTTTTTTATATATAATTATATATAATCTTATATAATTATATAAAATTGAAATTATATTTATAATATAAAATTATATATATAACTATATACATAATAATATATAGAATTTATATATTTATACATATATATGTATATATATATATATATATATATATATATATATATATATATATATATATATATATAGATATATAGATATATATATATATATTTATATATTGATATATATATATATATATATATATATATATATATATATATATATATATATATATATATATATATATATATATCAATATATAAATATATATATATATATATATATATTTATATATTGATATTTATATGATTATATATACTTATTTTATATATAAATATATATAAAATTATATAATATTTATATATAATTATATATTTATATATATACATATATATATATATATATATATATATATATATATATATATATATATATATATATATATATATATATATAATTACATATATTCATCATATATTTATATTAAATTATATTTTTGGATGTATATTTATTTAATATAATTATACATAATTATACTTACAGTTTTATATTATTATATAAAATGTTATATAATTATATATATTTTATATAATAATATACTTTATATAATCATATATATTTATATACATAATTTTAATATATAATCATATATAAAATTACATAATTATATATATTTACATATATATAATATATAAAATGTAATCATAATTTTATATAATTATTTAATTATAGTTATATATAATTATATATAGTTTATATATAATTATATAATTATATATATAGCTACATGTGAATAAATTCATATATAGTTAATAAAATTATAAATAATTATAATTATATAGTTATATATATAATTATATATTTAAATAATTATATATAATTATAAATATTAAAAGACAATTGTATAATTAAGTGTGTAATTACATATATAAATATATGTTTGTATCTATAAATATATATATAATTTTATATAATGATTTATATATGTATATGTACAAGCACATATATACCAATTTTTATGTTCCTTTAGTATATCTATACGGTGTTAGATTTTTACAGCCTTTACTGCAATTACTTCATAATATATTTATGCTATGTAATAGAAGAATATATTTCTTTTTTGGGATAATATTATGCTTTCAATTTTCATATGAAAAAAAAAGAAGGAAAAAAATATATATACTGATATAACTTCACAAGGACAAAGGGAAAAGGAAAATGAGTGGAAAATAATGGTTCTTGCATAAAACTGATTTCTTGTTTCAAAAAGATCTTTAACAATTACAGAAATTTATGGTCATCCAATAACGTCGTTAATTTTCCTTCCACTGTTAGAAGTGTTGTATTCAATTTAGTATATAGTTCTTTCTATAAATACAATAAAATTTCTATATATTCTCTCAATGTCTGATTATTAGGCAATTAACTTGCTATTTATGGATGGTCCCATGATTTTCAGTCATTCCTGTCATAGATTCCACTTATATATGGTCTCTTTCTCATAAATTTCTATATATACTGCAGTTGGCAAATTATCTACACAAAGGATGTTCAAACATGACTCTCCCTTTTGAGTCCATTCAGTGAGAATCCTGCCAGCTTGGACCTGAGACCAGAGGATCGCTTACTTCCTCCTCCCGACAGATGCGGACTATTGTCACTATCATATATCACTCTTCCTTCGTTTCCACAATCTTCATCACCATTCAGCATTGGCTCTCTCTCGCCTACAGTGTGTGATAAGGGAATGTCATCATCTGCTGACGGACAGAAGTTGACCTCACGTCTGTCCTCCAGTGGGAGAGTCGAGTCCAGAGAAGGATGTCCCCCCGAGTTCATGTTCTGGAGCGCAGGAACCTCGAGCCGCACCTCCGAGTGGTGGAGTTGGTCCAAGCTGATGCTTTGGGGGACTTTTTCTGGAGTGTCTTCATACTTGGGAGGGCACAGATGGCTCCCTTGCGTGGTGCAGTCAACACTGGACGTGTGGTATAAGGTGTTACTGAAGCACCTGCGGCCACAGGAAATATCTGAACGTGGCGAGTCCCTGGATAAGGAAGCACCATCACGGTTGAAGAGAGGAATGCTGCCATTTACCTCTCCAGGATCTTCCATACTTCTGAAAAAGGAAAGAAAGAAGCCTTTAAGTGAAGTATTCCTTAGTGTATTACCAATTAATTAGGAAATGGCACGTATCTATTTGTGTATATATATGAATATTTATGTATATATATGTATATATATGTACATTTGTACATGTGTGTACATGTGTGTACATGTGTATATATGTATATATAGGTATATAGGTAAATAGGTATATATAGGTATACATAGGTATATATAGGTATATATATAGGTATACATATAGCTATACATATAGCTATACATATATATAAAGGTATATATATGCATATATACATTTATATATATATATATATATGCATACATATATATGCATATATACATATATATATATATATATATATATGCATACATATATATGCATATATATGTATATATACACATGTGTATGTATGTGTATATATGTATATATATACATACAAATATGTATATATATGCATACAAATATGTATCTCTATGCATATGTATATGTATATGAATATACATGTATATGAATATGAATATGTATATGCATGTATATGTATATATATATAATTACACAGTCAAACTTGATATTTTATTTCTGTGGTGTCAAAATATAATTTTCAGATATCAAAAATGCAACTGTGCCCATGACAACAATAATGTCAGCTGTATATTGGAAGTGTACCCACAAACTTTCTTTGATCATATTAACTTATAATGAAATAACATTAATACTTTGAGACATGGATGTATTGAATAGTCCTCTGTCAACACTATCCATACATTTGTGATTGCAAAATTAATGACGTGTGTTAACCCATTCGCGACGGGTAAAAATGAACAAAAAATGGGGAAAATGCTATGCTCTTTTTTTATATTTTTTTGTGAAATGTCTCTACATTAGATGGCTCTGCCTTATGTGATTTCACCTTTACTTGACTGGAAAATGTATTTTTACTAGTGCTATGAATATCGATGGTTATTTTTATTATAAACATTATAATTACTATAATGTTATAAACATTAGTAACAGCAAAATAAGATAACATAAAATATTTTCGTAAATTAAAGAAAAGGGTAAACAGGTGAGACAGGCAGTACAAGTACAAGTGTAGCCATCTAAGTGTAAAAACAATTAAACAGGTAAACTCACAGTAGGCATGTCACGTATATGTGACACCCGGTTCGAATGGGTTAAGGATGCAATGTGGGTAAAGCACACAGTGAACATATTCAGTGGGAAGTGCTTAAAGAAATGCACAACTTTCACCCTTACGAGTTTAATATCCATAATCTTTAGGATTTATCAGCATTTATGAGCTCTGTTTTTTCTGCTGCCATAACTGCCCCAAATGTCTCATTTGAAGTTATCTCATCTCTTGCGCTCCAAAGTAATGTAGAAAAGGTATGAATGAGAATGAATATCTTCGCAGTGCAAGAGAGGACTCTTACAAAAAGGCAAGAAAACATGAGAAAAGCAAAAATGCTTATCTTACTAACATTCTGTTCCTCTCACTGTAAGAGCTAAACATGAATACTGTGCCTTATTCAACATGTTGCTAGTCTTAACCCCTTCCTGCTGGGTGGCATGTATGTACATGCCATGGCATGCTTGGCATGTGTGTATGTGCCATGGTGCACCGGTCCCATTTTCCAGGGGGCATGTACAATTATGCCATGCACGCTATGGTGCTGACATGATCCCCCGGCAGCAGGGCCTGGGCCACTATGAATACAGCCCGGGAAAGAGCGCTTTCGCATCAAGAAACCACCCAGCGACATTGGGTTAATGATAGTCTGGATCAGAAAGGTGCGACAGGTACTTTTTTGTCAAGAGCCCAACTGTAATATGATATTCCATGCACTCTCACCTTTCAAACCTGGGTCATGGTAAACTGGACAAGCATCATGATGAGCAAAAAGATAACTAATATTCAGCTAGGGTGTTAAAATGTCATCATACCTAGGCAGTGTGTTGAATATCAAATTCTGATGCCAAGATAGTGTGCCACTTTGTTTTTCCCAGATTGTTTGCCAAATACCAGACTAAAATATCAAGAAAGTATGTAAAATTCCAAACTAATATATCAAGAAAGTTGTTGAAACATCTGTTTATATAGCAAACCAGTATGACAAAATTTGCAGTGACAGAAACCATACATGATGATTTCCTATTAATGTACATTTTCATTTCATGATTAGCATACTATTCCTTTAGTTTTAAAACCTGCTACACATAAAGATGTACCTGAAGCTCAACAAATTTCAGCTGATTGGTCACTGTCAGAAGATAACTTCTGTTTTGTGCATATCAAAAATAAAATAACGTATTTGGGACATCATGGTATAAGTATCAAAGAGAGAACCATTAAGCAATGGCCAGCCCACAGAGTGAAAACCACTACAATGCTTAAAATCAGACTTGCCATTTCTGGTTATAAATACTGTCCATAATGTCCAGGAGAGCAAAAGCTGAAGGTCTTCAATAAAGCAGAATATTCCTGTGCTAGAACGATAACAAATATTTTGGATAAAGAAAATATTTGAGTACAGAATGACTGCTGCTGCTTCTATTTGTGCAACTGAGTCAGCATCAACATAAGCTCTCTTTTACAGTAATCCAATGTATCAAATATGGAACTGTAGTCTGCTAATAAAAGCTTATGGTGAACTGAATTCTCCCAGAATCTGCTTACAAGGCATTTAAGATGTCATTTATGTGCCAACCACTCAGTAAAAATGAGATAGAAAAGCAAAACAGATAGTGGAGAAATTTTTAAAACATCGGGGGTAAAGAACAACACTGGTGAGCAATCCATTACAAGACATACAAAAATGAAAATGATGGTTGGACAAATAGCATGATGTAGTCGTCAATAACATCTGGAAAGCCTCATATATACTAGCTGCTACACACAGGAAGCAATTTTGCCACCAAACCTACCTCTTGCCCTTTAGTATTACCTTGCAGTGCCCCAAACCATCTCTCTATTCCTCTGGTACTGTCACACAAACCTCATCACTAGTTGGCCAAATAAAAATGTATTACAGTACCTGGACATTTATAGAACTCGACATTGACATTTTTCTATGTGCAATTACTTAACCTGTCCTTTATAATAACTGACCAATAATAAATGCAAAATCCCACCTCAGTAGAAAACACAAATAAGATTCTTTCAAGAAAATTACTCCCTCATTTCTTTCTCTCAATCTCCTCTCTCTTTCATGTTTATCCTAACAGAATTTAAAGGTGGAAACACTAAATGATCCCGTACCTGGCCACACTAGGGGCTCGACCCCCTAAAGTTGAAAGCCTAGGACTGCGTCGTCTCAGCTCAGCCTGATCATATTCACCAGGCTGGAAGAGAAGTGGCGGTAAATGTTCCGCATTGTTTGCATTGCGCTGGATGGCTTTGTAATTAGCTCTCAGAAGCCAATAGGTGAGGACTTCTCCCTTCCCCTTCATTGTGACTAGTCCGCGTTCCTCCATCTCGTATCCACCAAGCGCTTCCAGGGCCTTATAGCACTGTTCTGAGATGTGTATCCGCAGGGGCTCTCCATTGCTGTGGGAGTGATATAAAAGACGATCAGTCAGAGTCAGAAAGCACTGCCAATGATGGAGGACAATTTCTAAGTCTTCCTAACTAAAATAGGGAAATTAGAGTTATTGTCATATTTTTCTTTTCATTAGAAACTTTTGGACATAATGTTAGATTTTTTTTTTTAATGTACAGATTTTACTCCATTTACAAATTTGATTTTAATTTTAGCTCTGCTTTACGATTCATAGTGATATATTTCTCCCTTCTTTCTCAATCTCTCTCTCTCCTTATATCTCTCTTTCTCAATCTCTCTCTCTCTCCCTATATCTCTCTTTCTCATTCTCTCTCTCTCTCCCTATATCTCTCTTTCTCATTCTCTCTCTCTCCATATATTTCTCTTTCTCTCCTTATATCTCTCTCTCTCCTTATATCTCTCTTTCTCAATCTCTCTCTCTCATCTCTCTTTTTTTTCTCTCTCTAACCTAATCTCCCTTTTTTTCTCTCTAATATCATTTCTCTTTTTCTCTCTCTCCTCATCTCTTTCTCTCTCCCTCTCTCTCTCTTTCCTCATCTCTCTCTCTCTCTCTCTCTCTCTCATCTCATCTCTTGCTCTCTCCCTCCCTCTCTCTCTTTCCTCATCTCTCTTTCTCTCTCCTCATCTCTCTTTCTCTCTCCTCATCTCTCTTTCTCTCCCTCCTCATCTCTCTTTCTCTCTCTTCTCATCTCTCTTTCTTTCTCTCCCTCTAAGTCTCCCTCTCCCTCAAACTCTCCCCCTTTCCCTCTATCTCATTTCCTTTCCCCCTCTTTTTTTATTCCTCCTCCACTCCTATCCCTTCTTCTTTACCTTCTTGTTTACCATTCTTTGCAGATTCATTCTCTCATCATCTTCCATTGTCAATTTATTCTCTCATCACCTGCCATCTCCTTTCCTCTTTACAATCACCCACTTTGCTCCCTTTATTCTTCTGTTTCCTCAGTCTCAACCTGCCTCCTAATTAATTACCTTTCCATTCGGGAAGCAGTGTTCACAGTGTCACCAAAGAGACAGTATCTGGGCATGGTGACCCCAACCACACCCGCTATCACAGGGCCCGTGTGCAGGCCTATCCGCAGCTTGAGGGTGGTTTCAGGCCGGTGCCGAATAACGAACTTGGTTTTTACCTTCAAGAGTCCATTCAAGTTCGTGTTAAATACATTTCACTGACTGAACATCATAAAACAAGAAGCAATTCAATTCAGTTACAAAATATATTACTCTGACTGCTTGACACATTCATAAGTTACACAGGTCCTCTCCGTAGAAATATCTGCTTTGCAAAAAAGGGAATCAAAAAAAAAAAGGTAGTATCAGAGGATAATAGCAAGTAGGCCTAATGTGCTACAATCATATTCACAATTTGTATATTTGATCCGCTTAGAACTGATATCTAAAAAAAAAAAAAAAAAAAAAAAAAAAAAAAAAAAAAAAGAACTACCATACTATCATAAAAAAGAGAATGAAAGCCTCAGAAAATTACTCACCTCATTCAACAGCTCAAGGGCCATAGATGCTACTTCCCCAGCATGTCTCCCCATGTTTGGCTTTGGAAGGCCTGAGACGACCATATACGCATCACCAATAGTTTCTACTTTGTATACATCGTAGCCTTTGATGATGTTGTCGAAAAGTGTATACAAGTCATTCAAGAAACTCACCACCTGTTACACAAATAAAAATGTAAAACCATCATGAAAATATTTTATTTACTTTCCAAATGTGTCAAATTAAGGCTTTACAAGTGTAGTAATCTAGTACTTTCTTCTACAGTATGATAAACTAGAAAGGACTGACCTGGTATGGGGTACTCTCAGCAGACAAAGAAGTGAACCCTACAATGTCACTGAAATATATTGTAACGGCATCAAAGCCTTGAGGTTCTACATCTATCCCTTGAGTTAAGCTTGCTGCAACGGATCTGAAAAATATGGGCAATAATTATTAAAACTAATTTTTACAAATATAATTTAACTTTAGAAGTGTTAAAGAAGATAAATGAAATGTTTGAACAATAATATTTTAATAATTTCACTCACAAATTTACATAAATTTTCTCCTCTTAATTTCACACGTAAACTTACGATGGTAACATGCGATGCAACAGGTCTTTTGTCTTGCTCTGCTCTTCCCTCAGTGCTTGTGTTCGATTTGTTACTAATTCCTCAAGGTTCTTGCTATATTGCTCTAACATGTGCAACATGTGATCCATTATGTTACCCTTGCGACTAGAGGATGAGTGAAAAAAGAGCAAGAAAAAATTATACTGAAAATGTATGCACAAAAAACATATATGAATGAAAAGTAAACATTCAGATATTTGTGAATTATGTACATTTTTTTTCACAACATCTACTTTCATTTTATTGTTCAATCAATGCAGCTGCATACCTTTTGTCCTTCATGTCTTTCAATTTGATTTTGATTGTGCGGAAGTTTGGCCTCTCGGCTGGGTTCTCCTTCCAGGCCGCCTGCATAGTGCTCCTTACGTCCTGGTCAGACCCAAAGGGCATGTCCAGCAGGTTTAGAAGGGATGGACGATATACATTACCCGTTAGGGTTGATCCATCCTTTAACTTCTGGATGATCACTGTAGAAGTGAGAGTACAATGTTAATTAGGTTGTACAATCTATAATTTTCACAAGATCTATTGGAATTTACAGATTTTATTCCTATGGTTGTATTTTCCAATCCTGTGACAATCAAATTTTGAGAGACGGAGAGAGAGAGAGACAGAGAGAGACAGAGAGAGACAGAGAGAGAGAGAGACAGAGAGAGACAGAGAGAGAGACAGAGAGAGAGAGAGAGACACAGACAGAGACAGAGACAGACAGACATAAAAACAGACAGAGACAGAGACAGACAGACATAAAAACAGACAGAGACAGAGACAGACAGACATAAAAACAGACAGAGACAGACAGACAGAGAGAGTGGGGTGTAAAGCAAATTAAAACTTATGATATGACTCTATCAGTGTTTACAAACCTGAAGGGTCATCTGTGTTTATATCATAAGTGTCATATGGACCCTGTCGCCCAATCATTTCATGGAGGATAATGGCAAATGAGTAGACATCTCCTTCTTTGGTTCCTGAAGTTTCTATTCCAGCTCGGAGCAGTTCTGGAGCTCTCCAAAGCATGTCTTTTTGTGAAAAAAGAAAGAAATAATTAATGTAATAAAAAAATGAATAAGGAAAATAATTTGTAGCAATAGTAACAAAATGTGCATATATATATATATATATATATATATATATATATATATATATATATATATATATATATATATATATATATATATATATATATATATATTCTATCTATCTATCTATCTATCTATCTATCTATCTATCTATCTATCTATAAAAAATATGCACATGCACACGCATATTTATATTTACTTATAAATACCTATACTTATAATACTTATATGAATATGTACATATTCTTCAGAAAGGAAGTTACCAACACAAAATTCATAAAATGTCACTTACGTCTATCAAACTGTCCTTTGTCATCTTTCTCCAGATTGTGCAGTGCCTCCTTCCGCAGGTCATGCAAGCCATAGTCTGTAACTTGGAGCACCCACCTCCCGTTGACAACACAGTTGGAGGACTTCAGGTTGCCATGGGGGCCAAAATTGGAATGAAGAAAAATCATGCCCTGAAAAACACATCATGTTTACCTTTTCTTACTGCTTTGCCAGTTTGTGGGCATATCACGAGAGAGAGAGAGAGAGAGAGAGAGAGAGAGAGAGAGAGAGAGAGAGAGAGAGAGAGAGAGAGAGAGAGAGAGAGAGAGAGAGAGAGAGAGAGAGAGAGAGAGAGAGAGAGGGAGAGAGAGAGAGAGGGAGAGAGAGAGAGAGAGAGAGAGAGGGAGAGAGAGAGAGAGAGAGAGAGAGAGAGAGGGAGAGAGAGAGAGAGGGAGGGAGAGAGAGAGGGAGAGAGAGAGGGAGGGAGGGAGAGAGAGAGGGAGGGAGAGAGAGAGAGAGAGAGGGAGAGAGAGAGAGAGAGAGAGAGAGGGAGAGAGAGAGAGAGGGAGAGAGAGAGAGAGAGAGAGAGAGAGAGAGAGAGAGAGAGAGAGAGAGAGAGAGGGAGAGAGAGAGAGAGAGAGAGAGAGAGAGAGGGAGAGAGAGAGAGAGAGGGAGAGAGAGAGAGAGAGGGAGAGAGAGGGGGAGAGAGAGAGAGAGAGAGGGAGAGAGAGAGAGAGAGAGGGAGAGAGAGAGAGAGAGAGAAGGGAGAAAAAGAGAGAGAGAGAGAGGGAGAAAGAGAAAAAGAGAGAGGGAGAAAGAGAAAAAGAGAGAGGGAGAAAGAGAAAAAGAGAGAGGGAGAAAGAAAAAGAGAGAGAGGGAGAAAGAGAAAAAGAGAGAGAGGGAGAAAAGAGAAAAAGAGAGAGAGGGAGAAAGAGAAAAAGAGAGAGAGGGAGAAAGAGAAAAAGAGAGAGAGAGGGAGAAAGAGAAAAAGAGAGAGAGGGAGAAAGAGAAAAAGAGAGAGAGAGGGAGAAAGAGAAAAAGAGAGAGAGAGAGAGGGAGAAAGAGAAAGAGACTGAATGACAGGCAATTTCTTACCCTTAACAAATCATGGACGAGGGATGATATGAAGAGGCTATTGAGCTGTATGTCTTCCATGGCAAGAATATCGAGTAGGGAGCCTCTCGTGCAGTATTCTGTCACAAGCGTTACCCCGTTTGGCTGCACAAAGGCTCCAATGAATTCACACACGTTGTACTGCTTCATTTCACGCATATTTCTGTAAAAATGTTCCTTGTCTTTAAGATAAATATATACGCATGTAACATTGTAAGATTGTTAGATTGAAAGTCCATTTAAAGGAAAATATTTGTATATTCACCACTCGAGTCAATGTTTAAATATTTTCAGCTTAATAATGCCCAAAGACATGACTTTCTTTGCATTCAGTCTTAGCAGAAGTTCTATAACAGTAAACATTATACAGTTAAATAAAGAAAGAAAAGAAAATAAACCAATAAAAAGGAAGAGAGCTGAGCTTCCCCACCTCATTTCAATCATGGTAGCACGTGTAAGCTCCAGTCTCCTTTGGTTCATGGTGATGGCCTTCAGACATACCACAGTGCCCTTGTAGTTTGCCCAGTTGTGGTACCACTTGTCATGGAAATCGTACGAGGCAGCACTCACTAAACTTTGCTGTTGGGAGGAAAATCTGTCAAGCTTTTTCTTTCTCTGACTTATCTTTTTTTTTTTTTTTTTTTAGATAACCATCAAAAAGGTCTGCTCATATATAAATCATAAAAACATAAAATACAAATATACACATACATTTCTTCTTCTTTTTAAAATAAATAACATATATGTAGACCTTGAGATCAAGCACATCAGAAATATAGAGTCAGAAAAAAATAAAGAAAAACTTTTATGAATAAAAGATCATATACATTTGAATGTGTAAACCACTAATGAGAACTAACTTGAATACCTAAATATGGATATACTTAGTTCTTGGTTATTGACATATAAAAAGAAATATACACAAAGTATCAATTCTAGATGAAGAAGAAGAAAAAGAAGAAGAAAAGTAGAAGTAGAAGAAGAATTGAAAAAGAAGAAGAAGAAGAAGAAGGAGGAGAAGGAGGGGAAGGAGGAGGAGGAAAGGAGGAGAAATATGAATGAGAAGAATGAAGAATGAAGAAGTAGAAAGAAGAACATAGAAGAAGAAGGAAAAGAAAGGAGAACAACAACAAAAAGACAGAAGACGAAGAAGAAGAAGAAGAAGATGATGTATGAAATCAAACTTCTCCGCACCCCTAATATGTCCCTTCTAAAACTCTCTTATTCGTGTGTGTAATTAATTATACAATGAAAAAAGACTCCTGACCTAAGGCAACATGACTGTTGCATAAACATAAATTGCTTTTAGTTACTTAAGACATTACTGGATACAGGAATATAATAATTTTGATTTCCAACAAAAATATCTTTTGGAAGATTTCAAGAAGCCACCTGATATAAAAGTACATGTGTGAGTCAGTATATTTGCCAATGCTAAGAAAAGTTTGTTGGTTTCAATCTAATCAATCATAAAAAGGGTTACTTTTGGTGGTGTTTTGAGATGTATAATTACAAGTTGACTTATTTGATAAATCTTTTATAAACACAATATATCTTTTATATGTAATTTTTCTTATTATTTCATATTCACCAAAATAATTCATTTACACTGATCACTTTTTATCAATATTATTATTAATATTATTATCATTGTTATTATCATTATTATTATTATTATTATTATTATCATTATTATCATTATTATTATTATTATTATCATCATCATTATTATCATTATTATCATCATCATCATCATTATTATTATTATTATTATTATTATTATTATTACTTGGCGTAAGTTTAAGCGAAAGCCCTGTGAGTGGCTCATGCAAGGGCCATCTTCTTTTAGCTAGTAAGAACTGAACTTGACGAGGAATCAAATTTGACTCGGCCCTCGTTCTTTCCCTACCCCTGAGTGGCGGTTTGCTGGTAATGAATTCAACTTAGTCCTTTAAACATTTACAGAGTGCTCTGGGTTATCAGCACTGAAGGTCCTCTATTAGTTTGCGTTCATCCACTATTAAACATAACTATCATCAGCAAAAGATGTTGGTCTTGAGTGTTTGTATTATTTTTATTTCTGTAACTAGGGAGAAGGGGAGGGGGGGAAGGAGAGAGAGTGGGAATGGGAGAGGGAGAGGGAATGGGAGAAGGAGAGGGAGAGGGAATGGGAGAGGGAGAGGGAATGGGAGAGGGAGAGGGAGAGGGAATGGGAGAGGGAATGGGGGAGGGAGAGGGAATGGGGGAGGGAGAGGGAATGGGAGAGGGAGAGGGAGAGGGAATGGGAGAGGGAGAGGGAGAGGGAATGGGAGAGGGAGAGAAAGAGGGAGAGGGAATGGGAGAGGGAGAGGGAGAGAGGAGAGAGAGAGGAGAGAGAGAGGAGAGAGAGAGAGAGAGAGGAGAGGGAGAGAGGGAGAGGAGAGAGAGAGGGAGAGAGAGAGGAGAGGGAGAGAGAGAGAGAGAGAGGGAGAGGGAGAGGAGAGAGAGAGAGGAGAGAGAGAGAGAGAGGAGAGAGAGAGAGGAGAGGAGAGAGAGAGGGAGAGAGAGAGAGAGAGAGAGGGAGAGGAGAGAGAGAGAGAGAGAGAGAGAGAGAGAGAGAGAGAGAGAGAGAGAGAGAGAGAGAGAGAGAGAGAGAGAGGAGAGAAGAGAGGGAGAGAGAGAAGAGAGAGAGAGAGAGAGAGAGAGAGAGAGAGAGAGAGAGAGAGAGAGAGAGAGAGAGAGAGAGAGAGAGAGGGGGGGAAGGGAAAGGGAAAGGGAAAGGGAAAGGGAGAGAGGGAGAGAGAAAGAGGCAGAGGGAGAAGGAGAGGGAGAGCCAGTGAGTGAGAGTGGGAGCTAGATGTTTACAGCAAGTTTGGTGAATTTACACTCATAGTTTAGCCATGATATGCCTTTCAGAATAAAGTACTAAGCTGTTATACATTAAATGCAGGTTTCTACGTGGACGACCTTAACTCAAATACTGTAATTACAAGAGAGCAGAACAGGAAGCTTATTGAGAAGTACTGACAGAAATAATTAAACCAGCACCACCGGGGACGGAATATATGACATGCTCACAAGAGCCAAGAACTAGTCCTACTTATCTCACCTGTTTTCTCTTTTCCTTGACTTTAGAAAAGATTCTTCTATATTTCTTATTGCTACTATTATTTTACTGACACTATAAATAATTATAATGCCAATAATAATAATAACAGCATTCATACTAATAGTATTAGAAAAAAGAAAAAAATCCCCAAAATTCAAAGAATGGGAATAGAAGGTGAAGTACATGATGTACCCTGTGGCAAGGAGAGGAAAGAAGGAAAAAGAAAGAAAGAAAGAAAGAAAAAATCTACTCTTCTTCTTTTCAAGTTTCTCCTATTATAACTTACTCCTTCAATCTAAAGGTAGAAAAAAAATTCCCTTTAATGGTGTTATGACTAAAGAGAGAGAAAAAACATAGAATTCTTCTTATATACAGTATATACACTTTCCATTACATAAACATCACTCTTATTACAAGAACAAATACAAAATTCAAACAAAAAATCATGCAAAGCTGTTATCAAAATTTTATCCACAAAAAGCAATGTTTAAGAGATTTCATCTACAGAAATCATTGAAAGAAACCTACTATTGGCTATATATATATACATTTTTTTTTAATTATAAAAATTCTAAATATTTCTTTCCCTGTAGGTAAGCATCCTTCCACCAATAGCAAGATTTAAATTTCTTGTTAACATTACTAAAAAATAACTACAACTTCCTAGAGCATTTAAATCCTCTGAAAGTTACTTTCTTTAGATAGTCCTATGCATTTAGTAAATTGGTTGATATCAGTCAACAGGTTGCTTGAGTGATACTGAATAGCATAAAATGGAATTTATCTTTCTTCTAACAATATTTGTAGAACATAACAATACACAAGTAAACAGCAATCTTTAATGTAAAAATCACACAACTTACCTATCTCCATTACACAGAATTCAACACAAAATTGAAGGTATAAAACTTGACATCTTTCAAAAGTTCTTTAGCATTAGATATGCTTTTAATATGTAAAATGAAATACAAAAATGTTTATCACTAAAAATTAAGGCTGTATTTCAGAAAGGAGCATCAACTGTAGGGGCTGGGGGGGTTATCCCCCAAGAGTTTGTTTGCCCCCCCCCCTCAAGGTCTGGCTTGTCCTCCTCAAGGGACACAATTTTTAACTTTTTTTTTTTTTTACTAAATTATACTTATATAGGTCTAGTTATAGCTTAAAAATCCCCTATAATAACTGATTTTTCTAAATTGCTTCAATCTAATACATTCCTTTGCCCCCCCCCCAAAAAAAAAAAAAAAAAAAAAAAAAAAAAAAAAAAAAAACTGAAATGTTACCCCTGATTTAAATCCTTTTTTTTTCAATGAGAATACTACTATTTCTTAACACACATTATTCTACTAAAGCAAGTTCTCAGCAATCTGACTCTAAATAATATTAAATGTACAAAATTAGCAAATCACTTACCCTATTTCCCTTTATCTTAGGCCATAATCTCTCAGTCACTTTATCTCTTACTTCAGCTGCTTATTTACTTGATAATATTATAATTAATTATCAGACTGAGTATCCTCTCATGCTATGATATATTTATCAATGAAATTTTATTATGGATTAATATCCACTTTTGGGCTGAAATATTACATGGCATATTTTAAACATATAAGACTGAAACTGTAGAAATTATGAGGACACCACATATGAATGGAGAAAAGAGCCAATGTACTGCAGACTAAAAAGCTCCATCACAGTACAGAAGCAGTTATCAGTAATAAAAAAAAACGAGACAATTATAGAGTCTAAGGAGTTTCATCCTTTAAAACGTAAGCGAAGAATGAAAAGGACTCGCCCACAAACTTAGATGGATTAAATGATTTATGTCTGTTATGTGCAGTAAGAGAGAGACTAATGGCCAGAGAAGGCCACCTGTTCTCCGAAGCACAGGCCCCCTTGCAACACACAGCACACGCAAGAGAGTCATAGGTCATATGACAAACAAGAGGTTGAGTTGCACAGGGAGATGTTGGCAGACGAGCAGTAGGTAGGGTGATGCGCGGGGGCCAAAAGAATACTTACGTACCCTGCTAGTTAGGGAGGAAGAGGTCGAGTATAAGCCCACCTCACGTACCCTACTTCCAACAGAGGCGTGGTTACCCAATGTCAGTTCAGCTGCGTTGATGCGCCACTGCAGACCCACAATCTCCTGCTCATACTTCCAGTTTCGGTATGAAATAGTTGACACGAATGTAAACAAGATGAGAAGGGCGCTCATTAGCCAAAGTGCTACTGTCTTGTACTTAGTGCTTTCTATGTCACACAAAGTGCCATTGTAGCCACAGAGAGGTTTGTCTACTATATCCATTTTGGGGGCGGTTATCATGAGAGAGTAATTCTGTGGAGAAAAAGGCAAGAGTGAAAATGGGTTCACATGCAGTAATGAAAGGTTTTATGCGTAAAATATTTCTCTTAAGGTATATCTTACTAACAAGTAATTTCCTAGCAAAAAGGAAAGAAAAAATTAAAACCAATTCATAAAAATATTCTTCAATTATCATTACAATAATAAACGAAATCTGACAAAAATATTGTCCAAAAGAGATACAAGAACTATGTCAATCTTATAATATGCTGAAACAATAAATTTTAAATCACTAGCTTGAATCTTTCTGTTAATTTACTACAAATAAACAAATCTAACTGTGTAGTACATCCTCCTATCATCAGTGGTTCATTAAACTATAATAACATAAAGACTCATCTCATTGTTTATCAGCTCTGCAATACTTACCCCTCCATAATAATCACTTATTTTGTGCAAACACTTGGAACAGTTGTAGGTGTCATTGATATATTCAGGACACTGTGAAAAGTAATACACACTGTATTTGCCTTCACTTGCTGCATTCATGTTCATCGTCATCTTGAAACCCAGAATACCTGAAAAAGTATAAAGAAATAACTATATTATTTACATAAGTATGGAAATGCATAACACCAGAAGTGAGTGTTCTTACATTTTATCCTTTAATATCTTCAAAGACTATTTTCATAAATGGGAAATACTAGATACATAACTTGGGTAGATAAAAATTTGGAGGGAAGCTGGGAGAGATGTAGAGGAGAGGAGAGGAGAGGAGAGGAGAGAGAGAGAGAGAAAGGGGGGGAAGGAGGTGGATGGAAGGAAAGGAGAAGGGAGAGGAGGAGGGAAGGAGAGGAGGCAGGAAGGGAGGGAGGTAGGGAGGGGGAGGGTGTGGAGGAGAAAGTGTTAGAGAAAGTAAGAGAGAAAGTAAGAGAGAGAGAAAGAGAGAGCAAGCACTTCTCTTCCCCAGAAGAGTTGGACTTTGCACAACCACTCACTCTCATATGACATGTTCCTTAGGTGGTTCTTGATCATGGAGCCGTTGCTGGCAATGTCTGCCACAGTGATACTCAGGTTCTGCCTCTTCTCATACAGCTCCCTTACAGCTTGAGCATAAAGCTGCACTGAATCATACAGGTAGGCCGAGGGCAAGTATGGAACATGCTGCCCAAAGGAAACCAAAAACAACTT